CACTAGAGGAGGACTTAACCCTGCAAGGTAAATATTGCATCTAAGGATGGGTTATAAAAGTAATAAGGTGTCTAAGTAAACCAGAAATTTAAAGTTGCACTCAAAAAACAAAGCTTGGGGAAATGGATGGAATACTATAGTTAGAGGGACAAATGCAGACGTGCTCAGCAGGTAAAGGGAGACCTCAGTAGGCATGAATCTGAATGGACTTACTGTGATGCAATTATATTGAAGTTCACTAAATAGAAATTGAAATTATGAATTGCTCTGTATCCATTCCATTCTATATCCATTCTTGGCAATACAGAGATACAGTAACAGCCACAAATCTGTTGGAACAACCCTGAAGCAAATGGACATTCGCCAGATTTTCTCCATCTTCTAAAAAACATTTAAATATATTTGGACATTTAAATAGGTCAGAGTTAGAAAAACTGTGGCACACCAGCATCTGCTGGACTGCCATTCTCATTATTCTCAGCCTTTTCCAGCTCAAATATGGTAAGATGCCAAGTCCTTATTTAGGGAGATTTGGCAAAATGTATTGGGATGATTTCAAAATGACAGATAATACTGTAGATCTTTTTTTATCTTTTTTGGAGACACATTCATCATTTGCCATGATCTGACACAATGTGTGATTATTCAGACTTGGCAAATAATTATTTATTTTATTTAGCAATCTTTTGGTAATAATAAACAGCCGAAGGGTCTCTATAACTTAGGAAGTAAGGTCAGTGCATGAGGAAGATTATTTACTAAACAATAAATATGCTATAGAGAAAAAATTATTTAGTACAGAAATGTGTGATACTCACATTGAGTGAAATTCACTTAAAGGGACACTGTAGGCACTGTATCTGCTTCATCTCATTAAGCTGGTTATAGTGTAGGGAGTCCTCTGGTTCCATCATTTCTTTCAGCATTAAACAGTTTTTAATGTTTTAATGCTAAACAAGAGACCACGGCAGTCCATCCCCTCTGTGCTGCTTTGGCTAATAAGGAAGTATTACCCTGAGAACCAATGGGCAGCTGTGATTGGCTGAGAGTGTCAGCTGACTGCTTTTAACCTGTCAGAGCTCCAACTGACAGTATGAATGGGTATGACAACAAGGAACTGTGTAATCTCTGCCTTAGCTACACATACAGAAGGGGCCGGACTGTGGGTGGCCAGGGACTCTTATTTTGTGGCATACTGCACAAACATGGTGCAACACTGAATGGAGGGACAGTGTCAGGGCACTCTAGGCACTATAACCAATTCAAAGAGACAAAGTGGTTATAGTGACTAAAGTGTCCCTTTAATATCTCTGAAACAGAAGAATCGAAACTTGGATTTGATTTAAATAGTGTGCCCGTCACTCATGGACCTAGTATAAACCAGGATCCACAGGCTGCTTTCTATTCTCTCACACAATGTGCAGTAAGATGTTAACTAGTGCAATGGAATAAATGGGTTTTTCTGTATCTACTATCTTCTCCCCTATACACAGTAATCAAAATACTTCCTTACTGCCGGAAGGCAGCTAAAAAATGTATTTAAAAAATCACATTGTCCCATTCATTTCAAATGTACTTTATTTTACCTTCATATGTTATAGAAGATATGTCTCAACATATTATTTATAGGAATTAAGAGCAGTATGTACATGAGGGTAAGTACTCTACCAATTAACATGAGTGACATATATTTGGAGAGAATAGCTGGTTGGTGTAGTGTCTAGCCACTCCATTCACCTCTTGTGTCTGCTAATATGTTGTACGTCATTTATCTGTTGTCAAATATCTAGATTCTATAATTGTAAAGGGCTGTGGAATATGTTGGTACTAGATAAATGCTAATAATAATAATATTAGCCTATTTGTGCTTCACATGTTAGAAACAGAACTTTTTCTCTCAATTTTCTCATTGGGGAGCTACTGATGAGCTCAACCAATCAGTGGCCCCATGTCCAGGACACCAGGTCCAAGGTTTCAAACCGGCAAGAGGCTTTGAGGTTTGGAGTTAAACTGTTGGTAAATGGAATAACCCATTCAGGTAAAATGGAGCCTGGGACCTGCTCGCAACATAACAACTAAATTGCTATTTTGTTGTTATGGTGCCCACAGTGTCCCCATCCATTGCAATAGATGTGAGAAATTGTGGGAGGGGATAGTCCAAGATATCATCCTTCACTCCACGAGCATGAGGTGAAGAAATAGGAAGGGCATTCCAATAGTTCTACTTTTTTAATACTCTCTACGTCCTTGCTTAATAAAATCTAGCCTAGGTAATGTCTCCTTTCTTGAAACTTCCTGAAAATTCCAAATAGCATTGAAAATGTTTTATATCTAGAATTTACAAGTATACTCATGACTATGTTTATCAGTATTAAAGGGACACTATAGGCACCAATACAATTTTAGCTTAATGAAGCGGTTTTGGTGTATACATAATACCCCTGCAACCTCACCGCTCAATTCTCTGCCATTTAGTCTCTTCTTTCTTGCAACGGGAGGAAGTGATCTAACATTGTTTTCTCCCACTGATGCTGTGCAGGACAAGAATGTGGTGAAGGGACGTGCGCAGCCTCAAGTTCACAATGCTGTCCGGCTATGGGAGGTATGTATATCTCTCCAACCAGAACTATCTAACGCTCTTCTCTCTGGTAGGGGATCGGGTCCCTTACATGGCTTGTACCTTTGTAATGGTGACTCTGGCAACTAATATTTATCCTTAGGAATCTTAAATGTCTACACAATAATGTAAACCTGCTAAATTTTTTGTTCTATGGTTTAACTGATTCAGTGCCAGTGTGACATTATCTCTTATAGCTATGCTTAATATTGGATATATTCTTTTCTATCTGAAATTGCGCAGAATGGTCAAGTGCCAACAACTATTTTGAAGCTCCAAAAAATTAAATACTGAGTGGGTTTTATAGTATATGTGATGTTACACACAGGTCACCGAAATCTGTATTAAAAGTGCAGACTGCAACTGTTTAAGCCGAAGTGTCAAAACCTTGTAACAAACTAACAAAGCCAGCCTGTTTTACAAAAAACTCCCCTCTGCTCGGTCTGAGATGTAAATTACAGTGAAATGAAGATTAAGCCCTGTTAATGTTCCATTACTGAAACGCTGACGGGGTTCCCAGTTGCTAGGTCATGTCAGCATTACAAACATATTTAACATAATAATGATAATAAAAAAACACAGAAACATGTTGGAATCATATCCTACTCTTCGTTACAGTCAGGCAATTGTTGCTACTACTGCCTTCTATTGTATTGTTTCCTTCATTAAAATTAATATCACTAACGTCCAATAAATCCTATGAAACAAACCTGTGAAGGGAAAAAGCAGATAAGAGCTTAATTATTGAAGTTGCTTCTCTCCCTCTTTGAATGTCACCCGAAAGACAAAGGCAAAAAATGTTATACTTTTTGAAGCATGGGAACCTCGGAGCTGAATACAAACCTTCTCATTAACTCTGATTGTGTCCATGTACTCACTACTTCTGCATGGCGTCTTCTCCAAATGAAATATAAAGCGGGCTTTAATCTGAAAATTATATGTGACACTAATCCTGTGTAATGTATAAAGACTTTGGGGGTGACGGGGAGAAGAATTGAACAGCACTGTTATTTATTCGGGATGTGGAAAAGACAGGATTTTGGAATGTCGCTATGCATAGTAAAACAACATTAGCAGGAAAATAAAAGTTAACAACACTTTATTGCCATGAGAAAGGTATGGTGCAATAAAAGTTTAATTGTATTTTTATATATATATATTTATTTTTTTAATTTTTTTTATTGTGCAAGATGCATGGTTTTGTTTTTAGCAAAAAAGTTTTATTCCTTTTTTTTTGCAAAAACAAAATTATAAAATATTGCAGATCTTAAACCTTACGTTTATATTGCCGTCACTTTCAAAATAAAGGGGTGCAAATACTGCAGGAAATCATACAGCCATAGATTTTGCTTTATAATTCCTGGGATATGGACAGCACTCTTGTTTTGGAGAGACATCTGTATAAGCTTTGCAGTGAGAAGTTTCATTCATAAAAAGAAAATATATATGGCTTTTCATGCATTAAATACATGTTCAAAACACCACAACTACTACATTGTGCTGTTTAATAACAGTTTGACTTCTTAGCTGGGTGGTGCTGGGCTCAGCTTCACACCTTTCTCCAGGACGTTGAGAAGAAGGGTCCTGCTTAGGAGCTTTTGTTAGCTCTCCTGAGCTAAGCCTTGCAGTGCAGGGGTAGTTCATTGGCTGAGAGTGTCAGTCAATCACTTTAAGCTATTGAGCTAAGACCTGCATCCGCTGGCTTAGCTCAATAAAGAGACCATCTAGCAAAGAGGAGACATGGAATGGCACCTGACATTATTAAACAGTTTAGCTCCTTACAGGAGGTGCCAGGGTCCTTCTGGCTCCATAACCAAACACTGGCTATTTTGCAGTCATGCTGACTAGCCAAGATGGCTACCTTAGGGTAGTCCATGTTCACAGCACCGACTGTTGAAGCTCTCTCATATGGATTGAATGCCCTGAATTCAGTTTGCACCATTTGTCTAATGTTGCACTCCTCCTGCTTTTATTGTGAACAGTTCTCGGTTGTTAACAAACCCAGGACAAACAGGGCCTGAATTCTGGACCGTCAGAATTCAGAACTGCAGGAGAATATGGGCTTTGGTTTACTGGAGTTAGATTTTCTTTTGGCTCTCTACAGCACAGTGTTCACAGTCAATCTACAACTCCTAGATTCTGAACCCATACGGATCAAGTTTAAAGGTACACTATAGTCACCTGAACAACTTTAGCCTAATGAAGCAGTTTTGATGGATAGAACATGTCCCTGCAGCCTCACTGCTCAATCCTCTGCCATTTAGGAGTTAAACCCCTTTGTTTATGAACCCTAGTCACACCTCCCTGCATCTGACTTGCACAGCCTTCCATAAACACTTCCTGTAAAGAGAGCCCTATTTAGGCTTTCTTTATTGCAACTTCTGTTTAATTAAGATTTTCTTATCCCCTGCTATGTTAATAGCTTGCTAGACCCTGCAAGAGCCTTCTGTATGTATTAAAGTTCAATTTAGAGATTGAGATACAATTATTTAAGGTAAATTACATCTGTTTGAAAGTGAAACCAGTTTTTTTTTTCATGCAGGCTCTGTCAGTCATAGCCAGGGGAGGTGTGGCTAGGGCTGCATAAATAGAAACAAAGTGATTTAACTCCTAAATGACAGTGAATTGAGCAGTGAAATTGCAGGGGAATGATCTATACACTAAAACTGCTTTATTTAGCTAAAGTAATTTACGTGACTATAGTGTTCCTTTAAACCAGGGGTTCTCAACCCAGTCCTCAGGACCCCCTACCAGTCCAGGTAGGGGTAGTCTCTAAGGTGTTTTTTTTTCTTTTTCTAAACACCTTAGACACACCGAGGTAATCCCTAAACCCTGGACCTGTAGGGGGTCCTGAGGACTAACGTTGAGAACCCCTGCTTTAAACACTTAAAACAACTGACATTGTTACAGATGGGGAGGGGGTGAGTGTGGTGTCATAAATTGATATATATATATACTATTTGCGGTGCACTCGACAACTCCAAACCATATTCTAAATCATGGTGCAAACCCTTGGTTATAATATAAATAATGGCAGGTGAAGCACACTCAGTAAACTTGTATTCATGTTAAAAAAAAACAAACGTATTTATTTACATAGCAAATACAAGGTTGTCAATAATAGGTTGTATGTAAATAAATATATTTTGTTTTTTTTTGCCATGAATACATGAGTGTGCTTCATCTGCCATTATTTATATATCTATATATACACCTCACTTACCAGATAACACACAGATAGGGTAATTCTCTATATTGTGAACTGTCAAATATTCAAAGTTCAGATTGTGGTCAAAATAATTGAATTGATAATACAGATGCCTTGTAGAATAATTTTTTTTCAAATTGACGTTTGCCCTAAAATTTTAAATTCACTTTGGATTTATAACTATTCACACTTTAGTGGCTAACTCTTTATTTACATGTTCCTCAAATCTCACCGGAAATTTAAAAAAAACAGTACTGAAGACATTTGTTTGAATGTTTATTATCAGGTGCGTTGGTTTAATTTATGGTGTGATTTACTTACTGAAATTCTCATAAGAGGTTTAATGTCACTCATGCGGGTGGCAGCTTTAACCTGTTAAAAGCCAGATCTGCAGTTTACTGGTACTCACAAGGTTAAATCATTGAAGCGGTCCGCTGACAAGTCATAACTTCTGTAACTGTGAGAACAAGCTTAGAACTGCCACTTGAACCTATAATAAACCAGTGTCAGTATGTGTTGCCCCTTGCTGTGCTCAGCAAAGCACTATGGGTGAAGACAGCCACCATCAAGTATGAAATAACTTAGCATACTGACCTTCTTTGTAGCAGCCGACTTACCAACCCCTCTACAAGAAGCCTTACAATGTGAAAACACTTGCCATATGAGCGTAGTGCTCTTCAAATGTATTTTTCAAAAATCCAGATAGGAAAACATTTACAGGTCGTACAATATAGTTTTCTGTTTTTTGTTTGTTTGTTTTTTTCAAGAAGGTCCTGTTTTTTTCAGGAAGGTCCTGAGAATTGCTATAATTCAAACATTTTCAAGTGTTTATAACATATATACCATATATTTTTATTGCGTGAGATTTTAAAGACTGACTAAAGCAGTCTGCACTTAGTCACGAGACTGCAATTAAATTAGCATTGAGGGCTGGATCTGGACCCCAGATCACAAGTTAAAAGCAGTAATATAATACTTCACCTAACATTTTTATGATAGGTTTATAAATGGAAAAACATTTACCAGCCTCTTGGATTTGATCACAATTAACTCTCAGAGAAATGTATTTGTAAAATATCAGATTGTAACAGAATTACTCTGTTTTGGTAAGCTTTATATTTTTATTAGACATTAGACATTAATCAATAACTTTCAAGAATTTATTATTATTATCTCCATTTATATAGTGTCAACAGATTCCGTAGCGCTTTACAATATTATGAGAGGGGGATTGAACTATAAATAGGACAATTACAAGAAAACTTACAGGATAAATAGGTTGAAGAGGACCCTGCTCAAACAAGCTTACATTCTATAGGAGGTGGGGTATAAAACACAATAGGACAGGAAATATCAATCAAATAAGGTGGGAGTAAAGCAGAGCTGGAGGAGAGAGTAGAGTGCTGCCCTTTAGGAGAGAGCAAGAGACAGGTAAGTGAGGTAGAGATTACTCTGGGAGGCCATCAGCTTTCCTAAAGGGATAAGTTTTAAGGCACTTCTTAAACGATTGAAGACTAGGTCTGATGGGGGTAGGCAGGCTATTCCATAGGAAGGGAGCTGCCTGCGAGAAGTACTGCAAGCACAAGTTGGTCGTACAGGTGCGAGCAGTGGACAGGAGAAGGTCACGGGCTGCGCGGAGAGACAGAGAAGGGACATACCTATGGATCTGTGAAGAGATATTATAGGGGCTAGAATTGTTCAGTGCTTTATAGGTATGGGTTAGCACTTTGAATTGACTCCTATATGATACAGGAAGCCAATGTAAGGACTGACAGAGGCGTGAGGTGTGAGAAGACCGACTAGAGAGGAAAATCAGTCTGGCCGCGGCACTCATTAAAGACTGCAGAGAGCCAATACGGCTTTTGGGAAGACCAGTTAAGAGAGGGTTACAATAATCCATGTGGAAAATTACTAGAGCATGGACAAGCTCCTTGGTAGCATCTTTCGTAAGAAAGAGGCGGATGCGGGCTATGTTTTTAAGTTGGAATCTACAGGATTTGGCAACATACTGGATGTGACGCTCAAAGGTGAGGCTAGAGTCATCTATCTATCTGCCTGTCTGTCCATCTATTTATCTATCTATGTCTGGTAATTAACTATCATTTAGAAGAAAATGATTGCAGGAGGAGACCTGAGGGTGGGATTGGTTTAACAGGAACGCTCTTCTAAAGATTCCAAAATGATTAATTTTCCTTGGGTTTTCTGATATTTATGTGCATTGAGTTAAAGAGCTGTCTTACTTTATCTTAACACTCCGTTTTATGCAGGACTTGTTTAGGACCTCGAATATTTAGATGGAAATATTAAAACATACAGCTCCAGCAAATAACAACAGCAGTGGTCAACCATTTGGATCAAATAGAGGGATATGTAACACTTGTTGGGGAGACGTTCTTCTATGTTTTGGCAATGAGTTGGGAAACACAGTGAACCACCTGTCACCCAAATATCCAGGAATAACCCCAGAGACCTAGGATGGATTGCAGTCTCATGTTCTCAGGATGGATGACCAGATTGTAAACAACCTTGCTGGTCCTTTATAGTTAACACAATTAAAACAATATGCATCTATTCACCATGGACCATATTAGTGCCTAACATCCCTGGGAAGTCAGTGGAATTCCATCTATTAGTAAGATGTCTGGGCTCCAGGAGTAAAACGATAAATACAATGGAGAACTCCCTGGCAACATTGTTCGAGTAATATCTTGACGTGTTCCATGTCAGTAAAATCTCATCTCAAGCAAACATTTCAAAGCCTGGAGACATTCAGAGACTTTGCCAAGTGTGCAAAATTTACCAATCATAGTTTTTAGCAAATTTAATAATATTGACTCTGGGTCTCTTGGAAAAGTATTATATTGGAATATGGATATTATGGTAAAATTTCAGGTCAATGTTTTTTTTCAGTCCACCATAAGCATTTAACACAACCAAGGATGCTAAAGACAAAGTTTTTTTACACAGAAGGTTTACTTCAGTGCTCTTACCTCCGGTTACCTTGGTAGCTCAACCCTTGGGTCCGAGGATCATAGTCATATATTTTTAGTTTGTCATTTGAAAATGTTCTATTATCTGAGCTGTTTATGTTTATGATATGCTCTCTATGGTTAATTCCTTTGAACTCTGTAATGCATCGTTATTTTTTGAAATCTCAGTCGAAACTAAAACTCTGAGAACTAACTAGTTCTAAAGTAATTTACATTGTTTAACCTGCCATATAGACTTGCTTTTATGCGTTTGTGATCTGTATATCTGATAAAGATGGCCCTGTTTACAAAATTAAAATGCATTCAATGCATATATTGTAGATTTATGTTACTATAATATTTATTTTGGAAACTATTCTAAAAATATTCAATTGTCCCAGACTTTATATTCATTAAATATAGTTAGGAAATTAGAAATTAGGTGGTTCTCTATTCACAAGAACAGTCATATCACTTAAATATAAGTCTAACAAAAACAGAAATCTTGGTTCAAAAGTCCATAATGTTTGTGGTCATTGCTAGTATGCTGCTACAACCTTATCTGAATGGGTCTCTGCCTTTGCTCTTCTGCAGGCATCCAATTAAATCAGTCAGCTCTAGCTGCCAAAATGTATATTGAATAACATTTTGGCATCTTGTTAATGAATACTTGTATAAATAATAGCATACCACCAAGGGTACGCATTATGTCACTATATTATTGATTATAAAACCTCAGAAACTTGAAATACTGGTATCGATAAAACAGAGAAAACTACCCATCTTTTACTACATTTTATGTTTCGTAATCACTTCCCAATTTGCTAATAAGTACCCAGTTCAAGTCATCAATCAAATAAGGATATGACTCCAATTTTGGAATGGCACAACTCCAGAGTGTCCAGAGTGGTGGCACCTATGTTACAAGAATTTAGCAGAAACTCTATTCTAGATTCCTTTAGATTCACTGTGAGGACTTTGGTCAAGTTTGCCATACAGCTCTAACATTTGAGCAATATATATTTTTTCTTTAATATTTAACCACAGTTTAATGGATTGTGATGAATTTTTTCTCTGTTAATTTTTTCATGATCTGGAAAAATCATGGTCACCAACCGGGAGATACTGAACATATCTAGTGTGTAACTGGTATGTAGGTTGTTATCTGCAGATAAATCCAATCTGTTCTGTGCTTCTGTTTGTTAAAATGTATATTGATGCATTTCATATAATAACTCTTTTACTATTTTTATTTAAAAACTTTAAAACCAATAAATAATAAATCTAAAGTATAAACATATTAATATATAATTGAAATCTGGGATAAATAGTACACTAACATATAGCAAAATAAGTTGGTGTTTTGGAATACTTAAAAAAGTTAACTTAATTGGTTAAACCTGTAAAATGTTTAGCTGATCTGGCGTCAGGGATAGGAGTCAAATGTACATTGACTATACTGGACACACTTAGCATATAATGCAAGCTGATACAGTATGACCATAATACAAACA